GGATTATGTCAAGACTTAAATGATTCAGTCAGGGAAGTATTAATGGTTGTTGTTAAAGAAGTTTTTAATAATTTTCATGAGTGCAGCATCTCGAGCAGGTTTAATTTTACAATTTGAACTTCTACTATTATATAAACATTGGTATTCTAGATACTCCTGTACAAATTTATACGTGATATCTTCCGTCCATTTTAATTAAAACTCAATATAAAACGTATAAATATTCAATAATCAGTATCGTACAAACTTTGTGGCGAGTTTCATTATAAAAGTACAATTGTACGTTTTGGCGCGTAAACGTTGCGTCCTGTCAATTTATGCACTGAACTAAACTCGCTCGTTTACACGAACGGCGAGTTAAGTTGCGGGTGGCGGAAGATGCGCGGGAGGACAGCACTTCGCACTTAACTCGCCGAAAAATAGCTCGGCTGGCTATCCCGTTCAACTTAATCGTTAACTTGCTACTTAACTCGCTTATTGCCGTTCAAACGAGGTTCAAACTTAACTCGCCAGATTCGCAAGTTAACTCGTTGGGTCATAAATGTGTTATTTTTCAAATTCTCATTTATTTTTAGTGTGAAATGTAAGTAAAAATAGTTTTCTTACATATTTCAAATAACTTGACGTTGTATTTATTTCAAATTCACACAAAAATATGTTTGAAATATTGTTCGAAATGTCAAACAGATAAAATATTATTATTTTTTTTTAATTTTTTTATATTTTAATATTTTTGGTATGAGTAACGAATGGAAACATATAAAACTTAAAAATATACATATTTCCAAACATTTTCATATAAATTTCTCCAAAATCAAAAGTGTAGAATTCAAATTAGTAGTAATTTTGTCACTAAAATTTAAGTATATTGTACTACTATGCTATACAGTGTAATTAACGTATTTTATTACAATTTCTAGCGACCAAAAATAATTTTATTCGATAGTTTATACATTCAACAAGAATTCCTGTAAGTTTTATCCATAAATATTGTCTCAAAGTGAAAATATAGCAAAATTTGCAATATAGCAAAAAATTTTCTAACTTACAAATTTTCCCGCCATTAAGGTCCCGAGTGAACGGGAGTATAACATGTCGCGCGCTCGCTTGACGAATAGGTTAACTCGCTTATTGCCGTTCAAACGAGGTTCAAACTTAACTCGCCAGATTCGCAAGTTAACTCGCTACTGTACTTGTCGAAGTGTAAATCGGTCTTAAGGGACACAAAAAAATCGCGCGTTTATAAACCGCAATCGAAATGTAGCAAGTTACGTTTTTAAAATCAGTCACTGAAAATAGTCGCTAATGCGTGCGCTTGTGTATAAAGCCATGTGTTACAACAACATAAATTAAAGCCTTTGGAGAACTTTAACCAACTTGAAACAAAGAAGGCGGGTAGAGATGCGTCGGCTGAAGACTAAGATGGAATACCTCACAGCCTCTAATTTAAATGCCTCTCTATACCCCAAAAACCTGTAGGTACGAGAGTGATACATACCCATACGGATACCTTAGCAGAAAAATATTTTTATCTCTTAGTAAACAACATCTCGTTTAATGAAGTTTGTAACAGAATTACGTGAAATGTTGCAAAGCCTTAAGGTATGTTGCGAAACTGCGTTTTTCAGACTCTATTATCTCACTAGTTAAAAAATAAACTACATCTAAAAGTACATTATTAATGTTCGATATCTTATCATCACATTCCACGTTGTAATTTGTTTTTATGTGTTATAAATACATTTAAAATCAACTTTTAAAAATTGACTAAAATTTTTGATTACATGCATCTGTTGCTAAACGCAACGCTCTAATCATTTGAGGATTACACTAATGGATAAATAATTTAAAAATATATAGTCTCCACGTTTTATTTAAATTTTTAAGTTCGTTTTTCTTTTTTAATTGAAATATTTCTGAAAATTGTGTGAATTCTATAATAAAGGAGCATGCGCAGAGTGCGGGCGGCATTACGCTGTATGCGTTCGTACGAGGAAGTTGTCGCTTGTCGCCGTCGTCGACGTTCCGTATTTCGCCGCAAACATAATATTATTTTAGTACCTACAAACCGATGCGCTTACGTGTTTTTTACTACAAAAAGACGCTACGATTATGAAAATATAATTTTGTGGATTGATTATTGCAAATGCCTAAATTCAAGAATAATAAACGTCAACGACGTCAAAATGCTCTAAAGATGAATGAAATTCTGTAAGGACTTTGATGTATTATGCAAAGTTCACTTACTTTTATTCCGTTAAATTCCTACGTGTTATTACATAGTATATTTTTATTTTAGGAGGAGAAGAAAAATACCTGAATGTGAATTTGACGACAAAAATAATTATTCAAGTTTACCAATAATTGGAAATGGTAATAGGTAAGTCGGGCGCACTTTATGAGTCCATAGAGTTATGAAATAATAACCAGAATTTATGAAATTTGATGTGATATTTTTTGTAGTTACCATATTATAAATAGTATGAACCTTAAAATATATAGCAAAAATATGTATCTAAATGATTTATTACAAGTAATTCCGCTTTATTTTCATGCAAGATCTAATATAATTTATTCTTTATTGCAGGCTAAATACAAACAATGACGATACGGCAGTAAACGACTTGAGTCAAGAAATCATAGAATTACAGTATAACTGTCTTGGTTCAACTGAAATGGTTGAAGATGTAAAGGTTTGTTTATTTAATTTTTGGTTTGTAGATATTATGGTGCACAAATGTGTACTTACCTAATCAAAATACTTTAGTAGGTATTTTGATTAGGTGTGTGTGTATTAGGTGAAAGATATCTAAGTAAGTACTGTAAAATTCCCTAATTTGACTTACCTAGCATTACTTTGCCTAAAACGATCATTTGAATTTCATTAGTAGGCTATTCGAGCTAGAGTTAAAGTTAAACTTGTAGTTATAGCCTATATGCGTCCCACTCCTGGGCACAGGCCTCCGCTAATTTCTGAAAGGGTCCTAGGGCAAGGAATTGTCCACCGCGCTGCCACAAAGCGTGTTGGCGAACTTCGCATGTCTTCGAAATATTTTTTTTTCTTATTTTTCAGACATGCAGGTTTCCTCACAATGTTTTCCTTCACTGCTGAGCACGTGGTAAATCAACACTTAAAATTGCTATTACAATTTCATTGGTGCCGGCGGGGATCGAACCCGGTTTGCTCGCGCGCTGTGAAAATTTCAGCGAGCGCTAACCATCTAGCAACCACGGCTCCTCTCCCCACGAGCTAGAGACTTTATTTTATTTATGGTATGAATTTTGTCCTATGCCAGCGCTTACTTTTGGTTCTGGCAAAAAGTTGTGAAACGTCTGTGAACGTTAGAATTGTGCAAATGTTGGTCACAGATATTTTACCTGCACTTCAAAATTTTATTGTGTAAGTATTTTAAACTATTTTTACGGAATTGATGAACCATATTAAATAAAAAAATAGTCTCCTATCTTTCTCTCTATGTTTTGATCTTCTAAAACAAGTTTGAGTTGGTAAAATCAAGGTAAACTTAGGGTAGGGTTGTCAATTATTATTTTGATAATAAAACTAGTGAAATTCCGCGGTTTTATATGCGGAAGCGTGAACGTAGTTAGAACATAATATAACCTTTATGTTTTACATAAATATCCTAAAAAATATTATTTTAATATGTTACTACCTATAAAATTAACAAGTTTATTGCATTTTTATTTAACTTATTTTTTATGCAATTTCATTATCTACGTCTATTTTTAGGAACCTTTATTTAGTCTGAATCATATATAACACTATATTACTGATTTACTTACTTATACGTTTTCCTTTTTTGCAGTTACAAATATCTTGTAAGGTTCAAAAAGGCAGTAATGAAAAAATAATAAGAAGAATACTACCACTGTGCGCTGGCAAAGATGCATCACACAGATTGTATGGGTAATTAATTTGAATATCAAATTAAAATTTTATTCAAATAACCAGTTCAGTGTTATCTTATATGTAAATAAGATCAAAAAATATAATTATTTGTAATAAATATATATATATATATATATATATATATATATATATATATATATATATATATATATATATATATATATATATATAACCACTTATATATATTGGCGTATGTATGCCCATATGTTCATTTAATAGCTGCAGCTGTTTGTTTATAATTTAAGAAAGTAAAAAATTTGTAATCAATTTCTTACATTCAAGATAATAAAATTGATTTTATATTTTATTTTGTTATATTTATTAATACCCACCCAGTGTTACTAATCACAAATAATCACAATATCTCATTAGTTATTGTAATTGGGTAAAAAATATCTATTTAGTTACTAATGCTATATTTATTATTTTAATAATTACCTACCCAATAGGTAAATATTAAAATAATAAATGTAGAATTATAAACAGTAAATCCCCCTCAAATTCAATTTACGAATATTGTTCCTAAATAAGGAATAGCAGATAAAAGATTAGTAGGTAATAACTATTGCTCCTCAAAATTATATTTGACCTCAAGGTAAAACATATCCTAAAAGTCAGTAGCTAAATAAAATAATAATACCTACTATTCAAGTATATTTTAAATATGTAAGTAAATGAAAATAACAAAAATGAAGCACCATTAGCATGTAAAGTTCGAATCCTTAATGAACATTTAGACAAATATTATAATTAACACTATAAAAAGCTAATAATAATAATAATAATACCCCCCGCCGCCCGCGGGGCCGTGGGGGCGGGCCCTCGGAAGAGGAGGCCCCGGCGGGGTCCGGGCCGGGCCGCGGGGGCGGGCGCGCGGGTTTGACCCACGCCGCTCACATCCCCACCAGAAGGCTTGGTGTCGGCTGGGTCTTCTCGGACTCAGCAAGCGGCACCCGCCGCTGGTGGAGCACGTCGCATGCGTTGGTCTAAATCAATGAATGAAAACGCACTGCGGGCGTATTTTAGGGCAAAAGGGGAAGAAACTGGATGTTTGGCGTATCGGGCTCGGATGCATCGCTTTTTTGCAGAGCTGGAGCCATCTCTATCCGTCACTGAGCAAAACCTGGCAGACCGAGTTAGGTACATCCTGCGCTCCAACATATTTGGTGACGCCGAACTCGAGCGACTACGACGTGAGGCTATTCCTTCATCGAATGGAAATGCTACGGCTGGGAATGCGGCGCCACTAGATGCGCAACAAACTGCATATGTGGATGCTGCCGTCAACATTCCATTTGTGGCTAATTCAGACGATGATGGAATAGTCTCCCACGAACTAGAGAAAATGAGGAGCATATTGGAAGAGTCGATGCTGGAAACGCGCAGCATGCCTCTCGAAAATCGACCGCGACTTCCCCGCATACCCCTTAGCAAGCGAAATCGGGCTGTCGTGCGGGCTCTTAACCCAATGCTGGTGACCTATTTGGAAGCCAGCCGGGACCTTTGCGAGACGGATTCAATTCTTTTTGGCGCCGCACTGGCAGTATGCCGTATTATTGGCGCCAAACTTCCCGTGGCTGGACGTGCTACTCAAAAAAGTAGCGCCATCCCAGCCTGGAGAAAAAGAATTGAGGACCGTATCACAAAGGCAAGGGCCCTTATCGGCAGACTGACAAGCTTCAGGTCGGGTAATAATAGACCGAGGATTATGCGCACCGTTAGGATGGCGTTTGCTGGGACAAATATCAGTTTGTTCCAGCCGGATATCACGCAAAAACTAACGGAGCGCATAGATGACCTGAAGCAAAAAATCGCTGCTTGGGGGGAAGCGGATTCGACGATTTAGCGAGAGGTCAAGGCGGTTCAACCAGAATCGTCTCTTCCAGAGTGATCAGAAGAGGCTCTATAAATCATTGGAGCGACCAGAGGTATGTGGAGCGGGCCCAGGACCGGATCAGGCTGACACTGTCCCATTTTGGCGTGGCCTGTGGTCAAAGAGCCCGTAAACCACAGCGAGGGCCCTTGGATGGAAGTTGTGGCGAGCCAGAGTGCAAGTGTTACGCCTATGGACCCCGTCACCATAACGCCTGAAGACGTGGCTGAGGCGGTCCGTAGGGCCCCGAACTGGAAAAGTCCGGGGCTCGACGGGCTGCATCATTACTGGCTGAAGGGGTTCGTAGTGTGTCACGCTGTGCTCGCCCGACAGTTTCAAGAGGCTCTCGATCAGAAGTCGCTCCCGAGCCTCTTCACTACTAGGATCACTCATTTGGTTCCTAAAGATCAGGATACCACAGACTCGAGCAAATACCGCCCCATCACGTGTCTACCCACCATATATAAGACACTGACATCCATTTTGAGCGCGAGAATCACTCGTCACCTGGAGCTAAATCAGGTGATGTCACGCGCTCAAAATGGATGCCGGGGCGGTGGTCGTGGAACCAAGGAACCACTCCTCATTGACGCGGTAATTGGCAAAGTGGTGAAACGCAACCGTCGGAATTTCTCCGCCGCCAGGATAGACTACAGAAAGGCATTCGACTCGGTGCCCCATACATGGCTAAAGAGAGTCCTCCAGCTGTACAAAATTGACTGTACAGTTGGAGATTTCCTCGAGCAGTGTATGGGGCAATGGAGTACGATCCTTTGCTATCTGGGCGAGCGGATGATGGCTGCGGAGAACCACATAAGGATAAGAAGGGGTATCTTCCAGGGCGATTGTCTGAGTCCAATCTGGTTTTGCCTCTCCCTGAACCCTCTCAGTACTTTACTGGAGGGCTCCGGGAGGGGATTTCAGCTTCGGAAAGGAGGTACAAAAGTGACCCACCTTTTCTATATGGATGACCTCAAGTTATTCGCCTCCAGTCGCTCCCATCTTATGGAATTGCTAAACATCACTTGTGAATTTAGCAATTCTATTGGAATGGAGCTGGGAACGGATAAGTGTGCGGTCCTCCATGTTGAAAGGGGGAGGGTTGCTAACTCTGAGGGCATAGATTTATCTATGCCCGTCAACTTAAGGACCCTTTCCGAGGCTGACACATACCGATACCTGGGTATGTCACAGAACATCGGTATCGATGAGGCTGGTATGAAACAGTCAGTTTGCGACGTGTTTTATGCACGCTTGACCAAAGTGCTTAACAGCCTTTTGTCCGGTGTGAATAAGACACACGCATATAACGGCTGGGTCATGCCTGTCCTCATGTATACCTTTGGCATGCTCAGGTTCACTCAGACTGAACTTAACGCCCGGGATAGAAAAGTCCGCACTACCATGACGTCCCACAGGATGCATCATCCGAGATCGTCGGTAATGAGGCTGTACTTGCCGCGAAAGCATGGTGGGCGTGGCTTCTTGAGCGCGCTCACCATGCATAATCGCGAAGTGTGCAGCCTCCGTAATTACTTCCTGGCGAGATCGGATGATCCATTCTATAAGGACGTCATTTCTAGTGATAAAGGACTTACCCCTCTATCCTTAGCCAACGAGCAATGGCAAGACCCGGCAGTGCAGACAATTTCCGACCGGGAGAACGTATGGAAGGAGAAGGAGCTCCACGGGAGGTTCTACAAGGCTCTACATGAGCCTTTCGTAGACACAGTAGCCTCCCTCCACTGGCTACGCTTTGGTGATCTCTTCGGGGAAACCGAGGGTTTTGTCTGCGCAATACAGGATCAGGTTATTAAGACCAACAACTATCGGAGATACATCCTAAAGGATGGCACCGTGGACATCTGTCGAGCTTGTCGCCATCGCGGTGAGTCACTTAGGCATGTCATCTCCGGTTGTTCGGCGCTTTCTAACTCTGAGTACTTGCACAGGCACAACCTAGTAGCCAGAATTCTTCACCAGGAGCTCGCTCTGAAATACGGTCTCGTGGATCGGAAATTGCCGTATTACAAGTACTTGCCGGAAGCCTTGCTCGCAGGCTCTACTTGGGACCGGGCCATCATCACAGGCAGGACTATTCTTGCGAATAAGCCTGATATTGTGCTGATGGACCGGGCACAGTCAAGGATATTTTTGGTCGACATTACCATTCCGTATGACGAGAACCTCGTGAAAGCCGAAACAGACAAGCAAACAAAATATCTGGACCTGGCTCACGATGTGACTGACATGTGGCGTGGTCTGCCGACCGAAATTATTCCTGTTGTCGTCTCTGCAAACGGGCTAATCCCAGTCAGCCTCTCGGGTCATCTGAGGCGACTGGGACTACGTGGCGGACCGCTCCGGGCTTAAATGCAGAAGGCGGTGCTCCTCGATACCGCCCGCATCGTCCGCCGGTTTCTTTCCCTTTCCCCCTAACCCTCGGCCGTTCGGTCTCCCCTGCCGAGGGCCTCCATCTGGTTGGGCTTTTATTTATTTATGTATTTTTATATTTATTTTATGTTATTGATATATATGTATATTTATCTTTTCCTTTTTATTTATAATTATATATTTATAGAACCCAACCAGATGAGAAAACTATATAGATACCCCACAATAATAATAATAATTATAATAATATTCCACAACTATCACACAACGCCATATAGTCCCAAGCTAAGCAGAGCTTGTGTTATGGGTACTAGACAACTGATAAACATACTTATATATTTATAAATACATAAATATTATAGATAAATTTAATATTAGCAGTATAGTATATAGTTAAAAATAATCAAAATAGTCATTTTTATTAATTAGATAATATATGAGAATACATAATTCTAATATAATGCAACTAATATGCCGAATAAAGACCACACACCCGAATGTTTTTGAATAATGCGACCGAGTAACCACTGTCCCGGAGGAAGGTCATTCTCCTTTACTAAGACAATGTCACCTAAATTTGGTTCCGCAATTTGACGTGACCATTTATATCTGTGCATTAACATGACTAAATATTTTTCAGACCAACGTTTCCAAAATGATTCCAACAATTTTTTTACTAACTGCCACCTTGACAATGAATTTACGTTACTGGAATCATAATTCCTATCGATTGCATTAACTAATGGTTCCCCAACCAAAAAGTGACCTGGAGTCAATGGCATTGGTTCGTTAGGATCAAAAATAGGAACTTGACAGTTGTCATTGGTCAAAAGTTGAGGTATGCTTCGATTTGAGTAAGAAGAGTGCTAATTTCTTCAAACGTTAGAGTTGTTTCTCCAATAACTCTTCTCAAGTGGTGCTTGGTAGACTTTACACCCGCTTCCCAAAGTCCTCCAAAATTTGGTGCCCGGGGAGGTATAAAGTGCCACTCTGTCCCGTTTGCAAGCAAGCAGCAAGGTGTTCGTTTTTGGCTTAATGGAACTTAATTCTCGTGGTTCCCTAAATGCACTTACGAAAGTAGTCCCGTTATCCGACCACAGGTGAGCGCATTTTCCACGTCTGGCTATAAATCGTCGGAAGGCTGCTAAAAAGGCCTGACTAGTCATATCACTGACAACCTCTAGATGTATGTAGGCTCTTGTAACCATACATATAAAAATGCAAATATAGCCTTTGTATGCTCGGTGGCCGCGACCCTTGGTCGTCCTGATCTGAATAGGTCCCGCATAGTCCACTCCACTGTTGAGAAATGGCCTCGCAGGTGTGCATCTTATAGATGGTAAATCACCCATGAGCTGATTGTGAGTAGTTGCACTATTTTTTACACATGTAACGCATTTATGGATATGTTGTCTTACCAAAGCCTTAGCTCCTATCACCCAATAAGCTGTCCTTAAATAATTGAGCATCAACTGCTGTCCTCTGTGAAGAGTTTGAACGTGTGCATCAGAACAATAGGGCGCTTAATGGTATCATCCATCATTGTATTTCTCAGGCGACCGGCAAATCTAATTATTCCGTTATCATCCAGATGGCTACTTTCTTTCATTTTTATAGGCCTCCCAGATTTTAAGTCTGCGTATTCTTCTGTGAATTCATCCATTTGTACCTTTCTTAGGCAACACTGTAAAGCCTTCTCTATTTCTGTCCTTTGTAAATAGCGATTCTTTTCGGACCCTTTGAGAAATTTTCTGCAATAAGCGACAACTCTCAAAAGTTTTTCAAGTGATGAGTACCGTTTAAAAAGTGAGTCTTCTTCACCTTCAGTAACTACTCCCACATATGTATTTACAGATTCTTCTTCCTGTGTATATAAATTCTTTGGTCTATTATGTGAAATATGTGGTTCTTTTAAAAAACTAGGTCCTGAAAACCATAAATCATTTTCAGCCAGTAATGCAGATGAGACACCCCTAGGTATCGGGGTTTTGCTTGGTGGAGATATGACACCATTGTGATGATTCTAGGGTAGTCAGAATCTCTGACACCCTATTTCCAACAAAAGTTTTCCAGCGGCTCGGATGGTTATTAAGCCAGGCCAAAACGATGGTGGAGTCAGTCCACGCATGAACCTTCTTCTTATAAATTTTAAATACTTCTGAATTTTCCGCTAAAAGTCGCGCCTACAGAACTGCTCCGCATAGTTCCAGCCTTGGAATGCTCACTTGATTGACAGGAGCTACTCTCGTTTTTGCTACCACAAGTGATGTTTTAACTTTATTTGAACTATCGATAATTCGCAAATATATAACTGCTGCGTATGCTAATTTCGACGCATCGCAGAAGCCGTGCATTTCTACAGCAAGATCATTATTTTTCGTTCCAAGCCAGCGTGGTATTCGCACTTTGGATAATTCATCTAACACTACCATGTAAGTATCCCATATCATTTTTAATTCATTTGAAATCTGTTCATCCCAATTGATTCCTGATAACCATAGCCTTTGAATAAATACCTTTGCTATGATTACACTAGGTGCAATCTAACATAGTGGATCAAATATTCTCGCAATTTCTGA